AAGAGAACACTTTAAAAACTATAAATAATTTGATAATTGTACGGCCTTTACGTTATTCCAAAGAGAACATCAACTAAAAAATTACTTCAAGTATTTTAAAATGATAAAAGGTACGTAAACATTTGTTATCATTTTTTTTTTTTTGGTAAAAGGGGATTTGGAAAAGAAAATCAATTATAAATTAAAAAATAATTGAGATAAGAAAAATCATATAATATAGAAACCAGCCAACCACAAATTGATTTCTTGTTTTTATTCTCAATTTCGAAAAGAGGAGTATTTTTAATCCTGATATGTATTTTTTGTTTTCAATTTTATTTAAAATTACTGGCATAATATGTTGCTCTAATTCTAAGAATACAAATGGGTTTCTGAAAATAACTTCAAAATATGAATTACATAAAAGAAATTGGTATTATTAAAAAGCTTGTCTTTAAAACAAAAGATAATTATCTAAGAGGTCCTTGATTTGATATTTTTAATATTTGGATTTGCTAGATGGGACATTTCTATTAAAAACGATTGGTTTTGGACTCAAATGCAATACCAAACTTGAAACTTTGATATTTCATATGGGCTTCAGTCTCTGCTATTCGTGTTGTTGCTTCTGGGCCCAATCATATATATTAATAACTATTTTACGACCTAATTTTTATTATATTTGTAATTATTTTTAATTACTACTTTTTATCATATTTAATCTAAATCAGGACAGACTTGCAGGTATCTCACCACATTTGATTTTAGAGACCTTTTAGAATAATTTTTCAAAAATCAGGACCAAACTATCAATTTTTAAAATTTAGGAACCAAAGAAAAAATCTATTCTGAAACTGAGGAATCAAAAATTGTATTTAGCCTAAATTTTTAATGTTTTGAAATAGCTTATTTTTAAAAATATAATGCTATTTTTATGAAAAGAAAGTATTGTTTAACAAAAGAGTTTTAAGAATATTAGATAATTCTTAGTCTTTTAACTTTTCAAATATCTCAATTTTACTATTTCCATTCGTTTGGATTCTGGATATTGTTTGATGGATATAAATATTAAATATATTGAGAGTTAAATGACAAGGATTTTGGAAGTTAAATCTCTGTGTTTGTTTTATAGATTTTGTTTATGGAAAAAATACTTTAAATGATTAAATTGAATTAAGAAATTAATTCAATGAAATATTTATATTAGATAATTAATTAAGTAAGTAATCAAAATTAATTTAGATATTAACTATAAATTAATTAATGAGTAATATTAGTGAAAGCGAATATAGTTAAATAGTAATTGACATATATCTCCAATTAAGAGGTAAATGAGATAATAATTACTTATATTTTAAAAGTGAACCTCCACCCCACAAACAATTGGGAATTTAAAAAGGTTAAGTATCATCTTTTATCATGTGATTAAGGACCCAATTGAGAATATATTTTAAAGACTAAAGATCACCTTTTTTTTTAGACGACTAAATTTAGAATTACCTAAAAGTCTTCTAAAGACTTGTTTTCTTATAAATAACTAAGGACCAAATTGATAATTAATTAATAAATTATGGACTAATATATATATATAATATAGATTTCAGCGTACATGGAGACGAGTGGATACAAAATATGACACGTTGCTCATAGATGCCACAAGAAATCACCCAAAAGTGTGCACATCTCAACTCATTTGTCTGACTGAGTCGAATCCTTTCGATGGCCGAACCGAATAAGCTTGCTCACAATCGCGTTCCCATGTCATTGGTTGAGCCGATTAGCTTACCTCAGCTTGGTCACGCCTCCGACACACTCCACGACAACACGCCACTGTTCACGGTAACCTCAAAGAGTCGTTGAGGCCTTGTCTGGAACACTGTCGTGGTCTTCGCCTATGAATAGAACCATTCCGTTCATTTGGAGGTACACAAACATTTCGATTCTCTCTCAATTTAGTTCGGACTTTCACTGACTTTGGCATCGGAGTGCTCACTCTGTTTTGCAGGTCTGTTACATGACATTCGGAGTTTACTGTCTGGCTCATCCGATCTGAACCGACGTTCGTGGAGTTGGTCAATTATTTCTTGATTCAACATACTTTTTTGGTACATATTAAAATTAATCATATATAATTTTTATTTTTTTAGTTTTAAGTGTATCTTAGTTAATTATATTAATAGTCACCGAGTAGTATGTGAAAATTTTTAATACATCAGAAATAAAAATTGAGATTTTTTATAAAAAAAATTGAGAATTTTAAAGCTTAAAAACTATAAAAGATGACTAAGAACCAAATTGAATTATATCTCTAAAAAATAATTAAAAGATTAAATACTTTTTTTCTTTATTTATATATATAAAAAAAAGATATTTTCTATTTTAGATAATTAATGCCTAAAATTGATAATTACTTAAAAGAGATTATAAACACATACATATATAAGGTTGAAAAAAAAACGTTAACAAGTTGTTTTCATGTATTATTTTTCAATACATTTTAAAATTAATCGTATGCAATTGTTAATTTTTATCTTTCAAGTATATCTTAGTTAATTAAATTAATAGACACTCATGAGTACTCTATTTCCAATAACATATTAGTTTTTTCTTTAATCCCAATAGTATATATTGTCATGAAAAAGATAGTCCAACTAATCTGTATCACTACCAATCTCATAACTGACCCTTCTTATTCAATTAAACAAAACAAAAACAAAATGTATTATTTAATTATTTTTGTTCGCCTCAAGATGACATAGGTAACAAGTATTTTGAGTCTTGAAATACCACCTACCTTGAAATCTCAAGTTCGAGCAATACATTGGTCTTAGTGTTGCTTAGTTCAGATAGTGAATCTGGACTATAGAAATCCACTAGCATAAACTGCACGGTAGGGTTCACCAAACCTTGCAACTGAGAGAAGATCCTACGAAGTAAAGGGAAGTTGCTTAGCTCAGATAGTGAATCTGAACTATAGAAATCCACTCGCGTAAGCCGCACGGTAGGGTTCACCAAACCCTGCAACTGAGAGAAGACCCTACAGAGTAAAGGGAAGTGTACTTACGTCGAAAAATAACATATATATATTATAATAATTTTTGTTGATAATTTCTCCACAACCGACAACACACGTGCATGATATATTCACATGATGTCCATCAAAAACATCCTCAAAAGTACACAAATTAACACACACATTTTACCAGCACTCCACCAAGATTTTCCCAGCTGCCAAACAGAAAGTAAAATTGTCACAGGCTATGGTAATTTTGGATTGGAAGATCCAAAAAGTATATGCATGAAAACAAAGAACAAGAAATTGGGTTTTGTTCTGCAATTTATATGATGTAATAGTACATGGGATATTGGCAGCAGGGATAGGTATTGCAATAACAAATTGGTTTTGTTTTGTCGCATTCTTCCTTTTTCTCTTCCTTTTTTTCTTCTGGTGGTCCGACTGTTAGAATCTCTGCAAACCAAAGCTTTCTAAGTTTCTCCACAACTTCTGCTGGGTCTACTTCCCCAACTACTGTCATCTTCCTCTCCTCCAGCTGCACTGCTATGGAGTTTATCCCTGCACTAAAACAACAATCATTAAATAACAGCTACGACGTATGGTTGTCTCTCGGGACGGCTCCTTTGGCAAAGATAGTAGGATCTCTTGGTATCACATATCCTAGAGGTCTCATATTCGAACTTTCGAGTGAGTTTGAGCYGGGTAAAAAAGAGGAGGAGGACAAAGTTTTTATATTTTAAAAATTATATAAAATAAAATGTTGAAATTTTAATACTCTTTTCTCTAATTTGTCTTTTTAAACTTTTATAACGGTTTGATGTAATGTATGTAGAAGGTAATTAAAATTTTGCTTTTGTACCTGGAAGACTGGAAACTGCTTTCATAGCCTTCTGCTTTGTCTTCTGATCATGTATATCCACTTTCAGCACTACTTTCTGCATCAAAATATGTCATATATACATGAAATTAATTAATATCTCAATCTTTGACGGAGGAAAAATCAAAATACGTGCTAATTGATTTCAGGATATCTTCTTAATTAAGCTCTGTTTAAACAGTGCTTAATTTCTTAAGCCCTTCCTAAGCCTAATTTTATTAAGGATTATCCCACCTTAAAAAGAAAACACCTTAACAAAAGTTTATATAATAGACCTGGACTATTCTTCTAAGAATTAATTGATTTTTAGATGTGATATAGTATCAGAGGATGATGAGAGGGTTTAAGGTCAAAACAATGGAAATTAAAGACTTGCGGAAATATTCAGAAAGATGATTTTGAAGTAGTGAGTAATAATCACCTTGATCATGCTAATTTCTGTTGAGGGTGAAGAAGATATCAAAAATAAACAAGAACTTGACTTGAATTAATAGCTAGAGAGAGAACCCAAGAGGCCTGCCAAGAGTAGAGAGAAATTGCAAAAAATCAAATGACTTTTGGTACAAAAATCTCATAGAGTTTTAAGTCTGTGTATATATATATAATGAAGGGCAGGGATGAGAGAGAGAGAGAGAGAATGGATTTGTACAAATGTGTTACCAATTTAAAAAGTTTTGGGATTTTGCAAAGAACAAGAAATTAAACCTCTCCCCGCCAGCCAAAGTTGAATACAAAAATGTCCCAATGACTTTGGTCTTCCTTGTATACAAATATATAAAAGACAACATTTTTATTGCTACCGAAACTTTTGGAGTCGTAAATTTATACGGAGCTTTTGAAATGTGAATTAGGCTTAAGTTCGGTTTCAACCCACACGTTAGATTTAATTGAAAAAACCGACAAACTTATACAGTATCCCCACCCTATTCAAACTCGCACTCACCTAGTTTTCTTAAAAACACGGTCTTTCGTCTGCTCTCAACTTAAACTTTAAGGTAAGCTTAAAAACTCGAATCCAAACTTAGATGCTCCGTATCAGTTTAAGTTTAAAATAGATGAGATCATATTATAATAATACTATCTTAATAAAAAAAATGTATAGGGGGTTGTTTTTTCGGTCAAAGAAATTGGGTTTGAGATTTGTTTTCGAGGGGGAAATTTGTGTATTAAACAAAAGCTAAAGCCAATGCAATACACTCCAAATTTGGTCGTTTTATTATGACATGTAGTGGTTGGAGAGTCAATTGCAGAAAAGGAAAAAAATGCATTTTTTTGTTACCTTCAAAACATAAAACAAAGAAAATTTTATAATTAGTCCAAGAAAATCAAACATTGATTTTATGATTTATATTGTTTGGTTGAGGTATAGCAAGAAGAAAGATATTGGAATGTTGAAATTTTGATGTAAATAGCCTTTGTTTTTTGATCACCCTGACGAGTAGTAATGAGTAAAATGGTAAATGAAGGAATTAAATCCCTTCTAATATAAAGTTTTTTGTTTTTAAAAGTTATGCTTGTATTTTTCTTTCTAATTTCTTTGATATATTTTTGTTTTTTACCTTTCTTCATAATACATTTGAATTTTTAGTCCAATTTAAAAAAGAAAAACAAATTTTTGTTAACTACTTTTTTTTCCTTCAAAATTTGGCTTAAATTTTAAAAATGTTATTAAAAAGTTGATAAAAAGACAAATGGTTTAATGTAGGGGTGAAAGTCATGGTGGTAAGTTTAGTTTTAAAAAATAGAAAACCAAAAACCAAATAGCTATCAAACGGTGCATAATTAATTTTCTTTTTCTTTTTAGTACAATATGTGGGGGTGATCGAACTCACAACCTCTTGATTGGAGATATATGTCAATTATCGTTAAGCTATGCTGGCTTTGAGACGACATAATTAATTTTAGTTTCTTTAATAGTTGTTTCTTAATTGCATGTTTTGATGAATTTGTTAGTGTTTTAAGGACTTTATTATAGTCAATTTTGATTGTTATGTAAAACCATAGTAATAGATATATTTCTATTATTGAGATGGGTTTCTCTAATCTTGTAATTTGTTGAGTCAACCAAAACTTTTTGTTTCATCAAAATTGATATATTTTAGGAGTTGTCAATCTCAAATGCAAGAGACTTTGGGCCTTAGGCTCTAACTCACCCTCCACTTACTAGAGGCTAGGTTTTTTTGTGAGGCCCAATTAACCTCAACACTTCATCCAAAATATACAACAAATTTAAACAATCAAGGAGGAAGAAAAATATACTAAAAGTTCAAATCTTTTAGCAATTTAACTAGCTATATTAAACTAACCATCTCATTTATTTGTTTCAACTCTAATTTATTTTAAAGAAATAATATTGGACTAATAGCCCTTCATAGATAATTAAAAGTGTTTCTAGAACTCCCTATTGAAATATTTTGAAGTGATGGTCCATATAATGTTATAGAATTCTAAATTAATTGTGATTTCTTTTGGCTAAAATGTGATCATTTTTGACATTTTGATAGATATTTTTAAGTTTTGAAGAGCTACGCGCATGAGAGATGGCGCAACGGTAAGGACATGGGGTCCTTTTTTTTTATGACATCTATCAGGTTGGTCATAGTGTTGCTCGGCCATGTTATAAGGCTCCATTAGTGTAAACCACACAACATCGATTCTATAAAATTAAAGAAAATAATAATTAGAAAAAAAAAGATGGGCAAATGGGGTAGAGAAAAATTATTTCTTTAATTTTAATCATTGTTGACATGTTTGTCCATGATAGATAGAGTTGTCATGTACATATATAGTCCAAAAAAGAACTATTTACTTCAACTTCAACTTTTTCTAGGACTTTGTGGCCACTCCTAAAAGTGGCTTACTCAAACTCAAAATCTGAAACACAAGTTGCCAAAAAATGGAAGGAGAAATCTATAGCATATTTACCTACCACCAACTCACTCTCTCTCTCATCAATAACTACTTATTTTTATTCTTTTCATTTAAAGTTTATAATTTACATTTTTATATACATTTTCTTGATGTCAATTTTCAATAGAAAATAGAATTTATAAAAATATTTTGAATCTTTTTTAAAATTATGTCAAAAAGTTAATTAAGTAAAAAAATAATAATAATTACATTAAAAATGATATAATTCTAATAAAGAAAAATATCTACTAAATATTTCATGTTTTATTTTGTTTCTTATATATTTATAAAAACAATCTTGTTAAGCTAGGTTAGTAATTATTGTTTATTTATACTCAATGGATTTTGCTTTTTTGTGTTTGTTTTATTTCATTATTATCCACTAGTTTGCATTAATGCCTTTAAAATTATAATTATACTAATATGTGACTCTAACATGAAATTCTAGACAAACTATTCTCACTGGACATATTGGAGGACCCTACGATTTATGATTGTTAAGAATCACTAGAATTTATTATCTTACTTAGATGGGTGACATCACTAAGCTTTAACTTGTTTTTTTTTATTTGCAGTGAAATTGATTTATCAGTCTATCTGTATGTTCAATCCGCTGACATCTTTCTCCTACTAAGTTGATAAATTAGAATCTCCAATGATGACTTTTCCAAAATTACATATATTATATCATTTAATAGTATGAATATTGTTGATATCAGATATGCTCCTAGCCCAATCCAATAATTAAAACAACATAATCTAAACATGGTTAGCATGTTGTTGCATCATGTCTAATAATCAAATAAATTCTATAGACTCTTTTTTAATATACAATTCTCTCTAAAAACTTTGAACACACATAAGATCAGAAGAGAACAGAAATCATGGAAGAATGTGGGCAGCCACCAGAGACTGAGTGACCCTTTTTCTCTTTATGAGTAAAAAACACAAAAGTCAAAAAGAATCCAACATTAACACTGCACCAGAATTGACAATAGAGCTTCAAAATCTGCAACAGAATAATCAGCACATGGGTTATTATTGTTTTCTTTTATGCTATGGTTATCCCCCCACATTCCTCGAGGCTCAAAATATCTTGGAACCACTTCAGATTTAAATTCATGCCAAAATGGAAAAAGAAAAACTATATAAAAGAAATTAGGTATTTCAATTTCAGCAAGAGCATATACTTATCACAATTACACCTGCAGATTACTTTAATCTTTCTTCTAACACCCAAAAAAAGAGAAAACATTAGTAAAGAAATGACCCAAAAAAAGAAAGAAAAAAAAAAGTCTTACAAAATCTACATGGGCGCCACCAACTCCGACATGGGATCATCCCACAGATATTGATTGCTTCAAGAAAAAAGTTGCAATTTCTTCTTTTCTGTGATTCTGTTTTTTGGTATTTTGAGGATCCTTTGGCAGTTGATCATGGCGTGTGGATGGCTTCTTTGTTTTTACACAATTGGGGAAGATGCTTTTGCAGTAATGTCCAAAAGCTCCAGAATCTCCGTCCTGCTTCTGACGACCCTATGGAATACTTCTCTGATTTGCTGCTGTAATGGCACCAATCCTTCCTCCAGTTTCTTGCAGGTCTCCGCCAGCTCCGCCACCTGCGCCGCCACCTCCTCCAGCCGCTCCGCCTCCAGCGGGAACGCGAAGGAATCGGTGAATTCGATCAGCGACTGACTCAGTTTCTCCATCCTCTGCATCTCCTCCAACAACCCAGCAGTCCCCTTCTTCTCTTTCTTCTTCCACTCCTCCGCGATTTTCTCCTGCAGTCCGATCATCGGTTGCGCCCAACTCATCTGCTTCGACACCGGAAAGTTCGTCGGCAGGCCGCCCCTCTCCTGGCACGGCATCGCCGCCACCAGAGTCCACATTACGAACACCAAAACCGTACTCATCAAATAAACCGTCTGCGGCAAACTGGACGACTCCCCGCCGCGTGGCGCCGCGAGATTGGACGACATCGCCTGAATCTGCTTGGCCGCGGACCAACCCTTGGCCATACTCCAAGACAGCGACCGAAACTGGCCGGCGATCCGGTCTTTATGCTGCGGCGTGGCGTTGCCGGTGGCGGGGCCGGGGCCGCCCCCGCCGCGGCGGCCGAAGGACCAAGCCCGCTCGGTGGATTTAGTGGTGAAATCCTTGTCCTCGACGGCCATGGAAGTAATCAAGGAATTCAAGGCCCTACGCGCGCGCTTGACCTGACCGTCCCCAATCGGGCGCTGGTGGAGAGCGGAGATGGCGATCTCGGCCAATTTCTGGAACTGACGGACGGATTCGATCCCGTGGAGGACGGCATTGCAGATATCTAGGGCTTTGACGACGCGATCGAGGAACTCGGGGACGAGGCGATCGAGGGGGGGCTTGACGATCTGGGAAGGGTCGCGGCCCATGATGAGGAGGGCCTTGAATTGGGCCTCGCAGCAGAGGAACTCGTCGAGGAGACGGCGGAGCCAGGCGACGGAGAGGAGAGGGTCGGAGGAGAGGTCGTCGGAGGGGGGCGGGGGGAGGAGGTCGGAGAAGCGCTCGGAGACGTGCTTCTGGAAGAGCTCGAGATCCTCGAGCTCCTGCTCGTGGGTGCCGTCCATGGACATGACCTGGTTGCGGCGGATGCTGATGCGGCCAAGGAAGGAGCTCGGGTATTCGGTGGCCTTCATGGTTGGGGCTGGGCGCGGGATTCAATTCACACCAGAAACAAGGAGAGCGGAAGAAATAGCAAACCAACGATGAAGATAAGGGGAAGTTGAGAAATGGCCTAGAGCTTTTATATTTGGGGCCGAGGTTTCAGCCTACGCCTTCTGCGGTGGCCATACCCCACACCCAGACCGTTTCTTTCTACTACCGTTTTAGATTCTCTTTTCCCAAATTACCCTCCATTGTTTTGTTTTTTGTTTTTTGTTTTTTTTGGTTTGAGCAGCACAAGTGAGGTGTAAAATTTGATCCCTTGACTTCTCCGTTACATACAGATATCAGTTACGGACTTAAGTTTATGTTTATTTATAACTAATATTTTTAGTTAAAAATATTAATTTTCGACCCCTATACTTTCAATGTTGGTTTATTTTAGTCTCTTTACTTTCAAAATATTCATTTTGGTTCATGTTACTTTAAAAAGTGAGTATTTTGGTCAATTAATTTTATTTTTAGTCTCATTTTTTCTATCACAATTTCAACATTACACTAAAATCAATATATTTCTTTAAATGTTAACATTACTTTATATTAAATAATTTTCGTTGTGTGTAAAATTTTTACAAGGAGGACTAGAATGATCATTTTTTAAAAGTGCAGGGATCAAAAGGAAATTACAATAATATTTTTAACCTTTTTTTTAATTAGTTGTTTAACGAGTTATTCAAGAACTAATTTTCTGCATTGACGGGACTTAATTTTTGTACCAAATTTGATTTTTATGAAAATTGCAACTCTAATTCCAAGGTTCTTATAATAAAATTTAAAATTTTAGAGTGCAAATTGATTAACTTTGCTCCGTTGGGTAAAACTTTTTTTGTTTTTTTGGTTAAAGGTTCTTGGTACGGTTAGCCGAGCCGAGCCGGAAGTTAGGGGTGCAGGTACGCCAGATGGAGAATCTTAGTT